GCAGCGCTTGCGTCACTCCTCCAGCAATGCTCCGAATGCGCATGCCCGTGTGGCCTGCAGCTCGGCTCCTGCCCCACCCCTGTCTGGGCCGAGTCCTGCAGAGCAGCCCGCATGCGCCCTGCAGGCTGCTGGGATCTCTGCCCCAGCCCAGCGGCACCTGGGCAGGGAGGCGTCCTCGTCCTCAGGCCCTGTCCTCCTCCTCTCTGAGGGCCCTGTCCTCCTCCTCTCGGCCCAGGGGCTGTTGTCCGGCTCCGACTTCTGCATTTCAAAGCCAGGCCCTGGGGCTGGGAGGGGGGGGCACCACCAGGTGCGGTCCATGCAGGCAGAGGAAGGGATGAAACCCAGAGGGCTGCAGCCCGGGAAGACAGCACTGCAGGCCCTTCCGGTGCCGGCTGGAGAGGGGCGGAGAGCGCAATGGTTAGCGCACACAGCGGAGTGGGAGGAGGGTCAGACAATTCCACTTAGTAACGTAGTCTTGGGAGAGTTACTAAGCCTCAGTTTCCTTTTCGTGTGTGTGTGTGTGTGTGTGTGTGTGTGTGTGTTTTGAGACAAGGTCTCGCAATGTAGTTCAGGCTGGTCTTGAACTCATTATGTAGACCAGGCTGCCCTCAAACTCCTGGTGATCCTCCTGCCCGCCTCAGCCTTCCTGAGTACTGGGATAACACACTCCTTACCTGTAAAATAGGGTCAGGGAGCCCACTGTGGTGGTGCACACCTGTAATCCCAGCACCGGGGAAGCTGAGGCAGGAGGATCCCAGGGAGTTCGAGGCCAGCCTGGACTACATAGTGACACCCTGTCTCAAGGAAAGGGCTCCTTGCCCCGAAGTGGACTGCAGAGAAGGCTGGACGCCGTTATCTTTGTGAACTTCATCGAGGAGAGGGGCTGGAGGCTGTGTTCGCCACGTGCCTTTGGGTAAAAACATGGCTCAGAGCAAAGGGCCGCGGAGCTCATGAAGGGGGCGCTGGTTCCGGGCCCCGTTTTCAGTACTCCGCAGGCGAGCGGGACCCCGAGCTCTCTGGTCCGCAGGCCCTGCCACCTCTGGAGAGAAGCCGCTGCCTCCCGGTCCCTGCGTCCCCCCCAGGCGCCCGGTCCCGCCCCTCGGCAGGCGGGGGCCGCTGCGTGTGCGGGTCGCCTCCCGCCGCAGGCGCAGAGCCGGTTGTGGGCAGCGAGTGACGGTGACTCAGGGATTCGCAAGGACTCAGAAAACACCCAGTCACGCCGCAGCCCGGAGCTGCTGACGAAAGGAGGAATTTTTCACATTTTCCCTGGAAGCTTGGCGGGGTTCTGTGGCCTCTTTCAGAGCAAGCACGTTAGGCCGTGGGTATTTGGGGGCATTGCTAGACTTTTATCTTCTATCTATTTATAAATAAGCTCCGTTTTTCTTCCCTGTCTCCTTTTCTGCTGGAGTGTGCATTGCCTCCTGTGTTGAGCAGGACCCTGACAACAACATCCGCCCCTCCTCTCACTCATGCTGCTCCTTAACCTGGCCAGGCCCTTTTTAAAAAATTTTATTTACTTTTGTGGTTATTGAGGATTGAACCCTAGGACCTTTTCCCTGAGCTATATCCCCAGCTCTTCTCTTTTATTTTATTTTTGAAGTTTTGTTCAAGGTCTTCCTATGTATTCTAGGTTGGATTTAAACTATGTAGCCCAGGCTGGCCCAGATTTCATGGTGATCCTCCTGCCTCAGCCTCCTGAGTGCTGGAGTTATAGGTGTGCACCACCACATCTGGCCACCTTTTCTCTTTCTTATCTGCACACCTCCCTTTACCTTCATGGTCATCCAATTTTGTTGAAATGTCACTTCCCAGAGAGGACCAAGCCAAACACCCTGCTTAAAATCACAAACCTCACCTTGCCCTCTTCCCAGCTTTATTTTTCTCTGTAGCAATCACTGTCTTTTAGAGCTCCTATGACTCACTTGTTTTTTATTTGTTTTTGAGATAGAGTTCTGCTATGTTGTCCAGGCTGGCCTCAAACTCCTGGGCTCCAGTGGTCCTCCCGCCTCAGCCTCCCCAGCAGTTGGGCAGTAGACTTACATCACTGTACCAGGCTTATTTATTTGTTTACTGTCTGACTTCCCCACAGGAATGCAGGGCGGCATCTGGGACGGCCTGGTTCACTCTGGGTTCCTGCTGGTGTACAGTAGGTGCTCAATAAACACACGCTGGTGGAAGGGAAGAACCCAGAGGTTGACCTCACCTGGCAGGCTGTACCCTGGCCACAGAGAGGCAGGGAGCTCAGGAATTCAGTCTGTGCCCTCTGAGGGGCCTGCAGAGCTGGTTCCCGGGCAGTGGGATGGGGCCCCATGGCCAGGTGAGCCCGGTGAATCACCGCTAATAAGCCAGCCAGGGCCACGCCAAGCGCTTCCCACACAGGCGGCTGGCAGGTCACTGCCTATCCCGTCGCCTCCCAGAGGACAGAGCAGGACCCCAGCTGGGTGGAGGAAGTGTCCACCCTCGGCTCCACCCATTCCTGAGGCCTGAGTCGGGTTCCCCACCCTCGCCCGCTGGCCAGACACTGAGTTTCCCAACCACGGCTCCCAGTTTCACTTGAGCCCACGCGCTCCCCACAGGGCCTGTCTGTCACCTGTCACCTCATCCTGTGAGGTCCCAGGGTGAAGAGGGGGGATGGCTGGGCCTGGAGGGGCCCTGGGCAGCCCACGGGGGTTAGTGAGCCTGAGTTTATTAGGGCCCGAATCCCACAGCCACGCTGCCCCTACCCTGCCAGGCCAGGCCTGCATGGGCCCTCCTGGGCCGGGCACTCCATCCCGGTCCTGCCCCGTGGGTGGGATCACCCTGCTGCCTGCTCTCTGGGAGGCCGCTCCCAGTCACCATGGCGATGGCTTTCCGTGATGCTGAGGCAGGAAGATCACTGTGACTTTCAGGAAGGCAGCAGCAGAGCCCTGACTGAGTCTCTCCTGGGGCTCAGAAGGAGTGGCTAGTGCCCCTGTGGGCAGCCCGGCAAGGCTGCTTTGTGCTCTGTTGACCCACACTTGTCCTTTAGTTCCTGTGACAGCAAGGGATGCAGGCAGTCCTGGAATCACCTGGCGTTTTAGGGATAATTGTGGGCAGCAGAGGGGAGCAGGAATCCACCTTGAAGGGCCAAGGGAGTGGAGGGGCCAAGGAGCTGTAAGACAGTGTGCTCAGGAGGCTGTCCCCAGACAGTCACATTTGCTTGAGGGCTTTAGTGTATTTTATTCTTTTATTGAGACAGTCTTGCTATGTAGCCCAGGCTGGCCTCAAACTCACAGCCACCCTCCTCCCTCAGCCTCCCAGGTCCCGGGGTCTCAGGTGTGTGCCACCACGCCTGGCTCCAGGTGAAGGTTTTGAGCTGAAGACAGGCGTGGGGTTTAAGGACCTCTCTGGCTGCTATGGAGAAGCTGAAGGGGACAAGGGCTGGGGAAGCAAGGGGACGAAGAGGGGACACTTCGGTAGCCTGGGAGTGAGGAGCAGAGCCCTGGGGACCTCAAGCTAAGGCGACCGTGGGAAGGTGCAGGCTCAGGTGCCATCTGGGCTCCAGGCCTTGCCGGCTCGGCTTCATCCTCTGCCCGGGTGTGGGGCGGGAACAGCCTCCTGGGGTCGCTGGCTCCTCCCAACTTGGGGCTGCTGGGCGCACCCCGCACCCCACACCCCAGGAGTTGGGCTGGGCGGAGCCTGCTGGGCTGCGCTCAACCCCCCCCCCTCCGCGTTGCGTGGCACCTTCCAGGAAAAGAGCAGCGTGTTCGTGTGTGTAGCGAGCTTGTCACCACAGCGAGCCCCTGAGCCAGGGCCCTTTCCCGGAAGTCGCCAGGGTCTGGGCGTGCAGGGCCCTGGGGTCCCTTCGGGGCGCTAAATAAGTACATGAGCGGCTCACTGGGCGGGAAGCGTCCTGCGGTACTGGCGACCAGGTACGGGGGGAGGGCAGGCCTGCACACGAGCTGCACCCCAGCCCCTTACTGTGTTTTTATTTTGAGACGTGGTCTCGACGCATTGCTAAGTCACCCAAGCTGGGCTCACACTTGCAATCCTCCTGCCTCAGCCTCCCAGAGTGCTGGGATGACGGGCGTGCACCACCGCACCCGGCTGGGCCGTCTTAGGGACAAGCGTCCTTGCCCTCGGAGTGGATTACTGCTGTCCTTGAGTCCCTGAGACTGGAAGAGGACACGGCTGCGATGGCTCCTCTCTGCGGGGCTGGAGAGGGAACCCAGCTCAGCGGGCCGTCGCGGCCCAGAGTGGCGGGGGCGGCGGCGCCAGGCCGGAAAGGGACGCTCAGGGCGGCGGCGGGGGGGGGGCAATTGCAGCTGCCACTCTCTTCCCTACGCCTTCCCGCCACACGTGGCCTCTCTCGACCTTTGTGACTCTCGATGGAAGGAAGTGTGAGTTCCCAGAAACGGAGGCGCGGCCGGGCCAAGTCCGGGCCAGAAGCGACCGACCCAGCCCGTCCGGTGACGCCAGCCATGTGGCCTGCCCGGCACGAGGGGCGGGGCTGGCAGCCGGGAGACAGCGGCCCGCGGGGCGCCCCCTCCTCCCGGGAGGGCTGCCGGTGCATGCGGCGGTTCCCACACGGATTGCAGCCAGCCCCACCGGGAGCGAGCGAAAGACGCAAATTTAAGGGGGGCGTGGCGGCAGAGCCTGCGACCCCAGCGTAGCAGGAGGCTGAGGCAGGAGCAGCACAGGTTTAACTCAGCCTGGGTGATTTAGTGACTTAGTAAGACCTTGTCTCAAAATAAAAATTAAAAAAGGGATGAGGATGTAGCTCAAGGTGAAGGCCCTGGATTCAATCCGATCCCGGTACCAAGAAAAAAGGAAAGTTTCTGTTGGACGCGTGGCGTACATATCTAATCCCAGCACTTGGGAGGCTGAGGCAGGAGGATCGCTGCAAGTCCCCAGGCCGAGCTCACATGGGATCCTCCTACCCCAGCCTCCGGCAGTGCTGGGGTCACAGGCCTGTGCCACCCCGAGTGGCCCTGGAAGTCTGTTTTAAGGAACACTCGAGGGCCAAAGTCTGAGGCCATTACCTTGCGTAGCGCCCCACGGTGCCCTGCTGGTTACCCTGCAGATTGTCCCGACCTGGCAGACCGAGCTCAGAGAGGGCAGGGGCTTCCCAGAGGACGCAGGCAAGGGGAGGACGCAACCCCTGCGCTCGGCAGCGGGGCTCCGGGCCGAGTCCTTGGGCGCACGGGCCGCGTGGACGTGGGCTGAGCGGGAGTTGGGGGGCAGTGGGCGCAGCCCTGGAGTCCGGGCTGGGGTGCCGGGCCCCCCATACTCCCAGGGCACCCAGGCCGCCCAGCCCGGGGGAGGAGGAGCGGACTCTGGTCCTGCCGCCCCTCGGCCTCGCCGGCGCCTTCGCAAACGGTGGGCGGCAGAGGCGGGGCCCAGCGCCACCTGCCGGACGGACATCGGACATCGTTGGTGACGCTAGGGGACAAGTGCGGGGACCCGCAGCCGCGCGCCGGTATCTCAAGGGCGTGCACGTGTGGCCTCCCTTGCACGCACGCGAACAAGGCCACAGGTCGGTGTCTGCGCCGTTGGGCATGTGGAGCCCCAGTCCCAGGACCGGGTGGTGACCCTAAATTGTCTCCTCCATTTGCTCCGTTTCTTTTTCTTTCCTTTTCTTTTTTGAGACAGGGTCTCACTGTGTAGCCCAGGCTGGCCTTGAACGGCAGCCACCCTCCTGCCTCAGCTTCCCCAGGGCTCGAATGACAGGTGTGCGCCACCACACCTGGCTCCTCCATTCATCTCTTCCATTATGCCAGGCACAGGCACTGCAGCAGTGACAAAGTGAAGGGTGGGGACCACCGAGGTCACAGCCACCCCCGGGTCCTGCTGGACACTTCCTGTCCCCAGAGGGGTGGGACGTGGGACAGCTCTCGGGAGACTCCATGGGTGGCCGGGTCAGAGCACGAAGACCCGGGAGGAGGTGGCCCTGAGGTGGGGCCTCACAGCCCTGCGTGGCTTTGGCGCGTGGCGGCTGTGACCCAGCGCCACCCCCCATCCACACCCTGGCCCGGCCGGCCTGCGGTTTTCCTCAGCAGCGCGGTGGCCACGGTTTCCGAGAAGCCCCAGGACTTTCCTGCCAGCGCTGCTCCTAGTTCCTCTTCGAGGAAGGGAAGTGGCACAGTTTCTCCTGGGCTTTCAGTTTCTTTCTAAGAAGCCGCGTGGCCTCATCTAACCCACCCAGCATGGGAAGAGCCAGCCAGGGCTTTCCCGCCTCAGCCAGTCCGGACCCAAGGCTGTGCTCCCACTGGGCCTTCCAGAGAGGAATCGAGAATGAGGCTCTGCAGCCCCTTCCTGTCCCTGCCACAACACACACACACACACACACACACGTGCGCGTGCACACACACACGCGCGTGCAGGAAATGTGCCCCCGCCATGAGCATCCAGGTGGAAAACACTTCCTCAACCCTCGGAGTCAAACTTTTGTTTTGTTTTGGTTTTTTGTTTATTTTTAAGGCAGGATCTCATTAGGTGGCCCAGGCTGACTTAGAAGTCCTGGAGCTCCTCCTGCCTCAGCCTCCCGAGTGCTAGGATTGCAGGCGTGCACCATCTCACCTGGCAGGCGCATGATCTGAAGACTGGGGTCTGTGACCTGACACTTGGAACAGCTGCCACTGGATGTGAGTGCTGATTGCGGGCCAGCGACACCACCGACTTCTACAGATTCCCACTGTACCCCACAAGGTCACGAGGCTGATAAAGCCATCACCCCGAGGCCGGGCCACCTGCCTACCCAGCCAGAGCAGTGCAGGGTGTCAGGGGCTCTGGGCTCCCTGCCCCTCGCCTCTCCAAGCCAGCTGTGTCCCAGGGCCCCACACGGTGGTCGCAGTGGCGCATGGCACTCACATGGCTGGGGCATCCCCGAGGGACTTTGAACCTTTATCGCCTTTGGTAGTTTCCTCCCACAGCGTTATTTTCAGGTTTGTGCTGTGCTCATGTGTTTTGGGAACAGTGGGGGGAATTCCCACACTGTGACGTCGTTCCGATCACAAACACTCGCCTTCAGGCCTCAGCTGTGTGACTCACGAGGTGAGGGTGGCAGGAAAATGCCCAGTGGGGGGGGGCACCATGGAAAGGACACTTTTTTTTTTCTGGTTTTGAGACAGGGTCTCTCTATGTAGCCCAGGTTGGCCTTAAACCTTGAACTCAGGGCAACCTTCCTGGTTCAGCCTCCCGGGCACTGGGATTACAAGTGTGCGCTGCTATGCCCGGCTCTTCTTGCTGTTTAAACCACCTGGTCTGCCAGTCAGTTGTACTCTGAGGTTCTGGGGGTCAGGACTTCAATGCAGGAACTAGATGGTGGAGTACACAGTGTAGCCCTGCAGTGCTTGGTGATTTTAGCCTACAGAGTTAGCGGTTTGGGAAGTGCAAGTTGGATAACAGTCCCAGGACTACACCTCATGCCAAGTGTGGAAGTGCATGACTGTCATTCTAGCTGCTTAGGAGGCTGAGGCAGGAGTATCGCAAATTTGGGCCCAACCCCAACAATTTACTGAGGTTCTGCCTCAAAACAAAACAAAATTTAAAGGGTTGGGGTTGTGGCTCAGTGGTAGAGCTTTTGCCCAGCATGAGAAAGGCCCCTGGTTCAATCCCAAAATTAAAAAAAAAAACCCGCATGTCAGGGATGACCACCTTCCTGTATAGGATTCGGGAGTCCCCTGCCCGTCAGCTTAGATCAGCAAATTCCAGGGACCCGGCCCGCAGACGTGATGCCCTCAGTGGACATGACCTCAGCCACCAGGGCTGGGAGGGACTTGTGCCACGTCACGGTGTCCGGCCTCTTTCAAAACAGTTTCCAGTTCTGTGTCCGGAGCTGCTATTTATGGGACAACCTATGGATTTTTAAAAAACAAGATGAACTTTGAGTGTTTGTGTTTAGCTCTGCCGGGGTTTTTTTTAAACCCAGAGAGATGGAAAAGGAGAAAAGAGAATCGGAGCTGGTCATGGGCCACTCCGAGATGATCCTGCCAGCGTCTGGGTTTCTGTGTCTGTCTTTATCTTCACCTCTTTTTGTATAATTAAATCCACTCCAGAGATAAGATTGCAGGCGCTGTTTCATAACTTAGCAGTTAGCACATCGGGTCCCTTTGCAGCATGAAATCGTTTCAGCAGGCCAGGGACGAGGGCACCCCACTGCTCAGCCCTCGCCTGCTTGAGTAAATGGCTCATGCCACCATCGTGGAGAGGTTACCGGGTGACCGCGACATCCCCTTCTGGCTCAGCCTTCGCTACGACTGTCTACTGAGAACCAATTCCTAGAGGTGAAATTTGCCAGTTGAAGAGAAAGTATTATGGAACACATTTTAACTTTATTTATCTACTATTTTGTTTTTATTTATTTATTTTGGTGTTTTGAAATAGCATCTTGCTGTGTAGCCCAGGCTGACCTTGAACTCGTGGCAATCCTCCTGCCTCAGCCTCTCAAGTGCTGGGATGACAGGGCACAGTTCAGCCCACAACAGCATTTCTGTGGACATGCTGAGCGAAGTGGGGACAGTCACCTCTCTCGGAGCCTCAGTGTCCCCTCTGGGTAATGGAGAGATGCCACATTTCCTTCCCCTTCGGGCAGTTAGACTAGTGTGTGTGAAGAACGGGTCCCAGAGAATAGAATTATTCAGGCAAAAGGGCTCCTAACTGAGTTTGCCTAAGGGAACGACTTGTGCGGACTGCAGCTGTGAACCCCAGGTAGAAGGGTGTGGCGGTTATCTTGCTGGGTAACAAACCATGGGGGTGCGCAGGGCCGGAGGATTGGCTGGCCGCTTCTCGGCACCGGCTGCGGCCTGCTGCTGGTGTAGCTCAGCGTGGCAGGGACCCCAGCTTCTCTCCCTCGGGTCCCAGCTGGGCTCCTTCCTCTGCTTCTACCACATCCTGTCACCCAGAGCTCACCACAGGTGCCCCAGACTCAAGAGGAGGTGGAACGGGCTGCCCAGAAGCAGCCCGGGGTGTGGACGCAGCCATGGCGGCATGGAGACTGGGGTTCCCCTGGGGTCCTGGCCTGGCATCGCCCTGCCCTGAGCCAGCACCTCCAGCCGGGCCAGCCTGACCCTCCCCACCCCGCTGTCCCCAGACCTGCAGCCTGGGGCCCTGGGGCTGGGCTGAGGAGGCAGTGGAGGACTTCTGTCCTCCTGCCAGCTTCCTACTCAAGCCACCCGGCTCTGCTTCCTGGAACCGACAGCCCAGCTGGGCCCCCTGCCGTCCCTGAAGGAAGCTCCCCAACCTTGCAACTTCCAGTTATCCAGGCCTTGGAGAAATTTGACAACTTATACTCTACATTGTCTTTTTTTTGGAGACAGGATCTCACCATGTAGCCTAGGGTGGCCTCAAACTTGTGGAGATCCTCCTGCCTCAGCCTCCCCAGTGCTGGGATTAGCTATGCTCAGATTAGTACTGGGCTTAGTGCCGGCTGAGCATTTCTGAGCCCTCTGGCCCCTACACCACGTGCTCGAACAACCCCATGAATGGGGGGCAGAGCACGCCAGGCCCCTTTGGTGAATGGAAAAGGAAGTCAGGCGAGAGGGAAGCCGCTGGAGGGGACAGGACAGCATCTAAAGTGCGGTCCCCGCCTCTCACCCTGTTTCCTGGAGAGCCCACAGGGCACCTTCGGGCCACTGCTAACCTCTCTGTGCCACCCGGGAGCCAGCGTGAGTGCTGGGGGGAGGGGTCCCCTCTGCCACCCTTTCTTTAGAAGTCTCACGCAGGCCCCGGGCTGTGCTGGGACGAGCCAGGGCCATTCCCAGGGAAAGCGGAGTGTTCGGCTGGCTCCGTTCACTGCGTGTGAGGTCTCCCTAAAGGCGAAGCTGGAAGGAATGAGCAGCCCGGGCTGCTCTGTCAGTAGTGCTGTCATTATTGTGATTTGGGCCTGGGGAACCAGGATGGGACTCAGGCCCTTCACACAGAGCGCCTTCCCCAGCCCTTTGCAGAATTCTTTTATTTTGAGACAGGGTCTCCCTGAGTCGCTAAGTGGCCCAGGCTGGGGTCAAATTCGCCATCCTCCTGCCTCAGCCTCCCAGAGTGCTGGGATTCCAGGCTCGGGGTTTTAGATTTTAAAACGTGTGGAAATGACCACTAGGGGGCGCGCACAGAGCAGGGGGGCTTCATTCACCCCGGCGCGCGCGAGGTGGCAGTGGGTTCGGCTGGAACATTATCCTGGGAACGCAGGGCTGGCGGAGGGGGCAAGCTGAGAAGTTTGGATTTCATGGCAGGTCCTGCCTGCGGCTCCGCCCCGCCGGCTCCGGAACCCCGCGGCTTGGCGCGGCTGCTGGTGGCTGGGGTGTGAGGCCCGCAGACTTTGAGGGGAGACTCGAAGGTGTGCGCAAGCCGCCTGCATGCTCCAGGTGCTTGAAAGACGCCACTTGCAGAATAATTACTCTTTCTTTTTTTTTTTTTTTAGCCAGAGTCTC